CACTAACAAAATTTAATTGTCTTGTGACGCAGTTGTTCAGCCCCCAAAGGGTGTATACGCAGACATACTTCGACGACATCTTTGTGCGAAGCACGGGAGGACGGATGAAGAGGGCCACATCATCCATTTAAGAGCAGTGTCCGAGTGCATGCACGCGAATGAGCTGTAAGCTAATGCATAAAAGTGCATTTCCGGCGCCGAAAACAACTATTTTAGGGTGCTTCATCGGTCTGCGTGGCTTTCGAGCTATCAGGAGGTTTTTGACGGGGTCAAAGACAGCCTCCTGCATACACCAATACTGGTGTAGTCAGACCCTGATCGTCTTTCAGTGTCGTCTGTGACGCTTTGGACTTTGCCATCGGCTGTGCACTGCTGCAAGCAGACGCCGAGGGGCGAGATCAGGTGGTCGCGATCGAATCTCGCCAGCTCAAGACTGCATAGATGAACTACTCAGTTCACGACAAGGAATTACTTGCGATGAAGTATGCACATGACAAACAGGGCACACCTGCTCGGCTCCAAGCCGTTCTTGATCTATACAGATCATGCATCATTACGCACTGCAACTTAGTCGCCTCAATTCTCACAGAGGAGACCAGGTAGCTCTCCTTCTTTGCAGAATATTGAAGTATAAATCAGGAAAGCAGTATGCTGTGGATGATGCGTTGTCGCGCAAACCAGATTATGAGCTTGCTCATGTCACGACGGTGATGATGTCCCTGACGTATTTGATCCGCGCCACGTACGCGGGTGATGATATGTGCATAGCCCTGCTACGGGCTCTCGGGGGCAGGGAGTCTGGGGACTCGGACAACAATTTGTCGTCGCGATTGCGTGCACAGTTGCACCGATATTCATTAAATAATGTATTGCTGTAGTTTAGCACCGACCCGACGGATATACCACGCATTGTGGTTCCTCACGATGAGTATTTGAGGTATCGTATCCTCTATGAAGCCTACGACACCTTACTCAGCGGTCTTTTCGGTCGTGAGAAGACGGAGTTGCTACTACTGATGACCCAAGCTGTACAGATGGACGAGCACCTATGTGCGCACGTGTGAGACGTGTGAAAGGGTGAAATCCTCTCCGAATGACGCGACTCCGCTGGCCAGTTTGTCGGTAACCTCCGGGTGTTGGCAGTCCTAAGTTCGGACTTTGTGCTTGGCCTGCCGAAAGGCTTCGGTGAGCAATACGGGTATCGTGGTCTTCGTCGACCGTTTGAGCAACATGGTTCATCGTGCCGGACACCATCGACGGTGTGGATACAGCGATGCTGTTTGTCGGGCGTGTCTTTCGGCAACATGAACTCTAGGAGTCAATTGTCTCTGACATAGAGTCACGCTTCACTGGGAATTTTTGGTCATAATCTTCAAGGTGCTGGGTACCAAGCTGGATATGTCAACAGCGGATCATCCGCAGACCGATGGTCAATTTGAGCGCATGAATATTGTCGTCAAGGACGTCCTACGCAGCGTCTGCGCTGAAACTCCGAGGCGCTGGAGTGCCATGCTGCCCCTCATACAGTTCGCCCTGAATGCAGTGCATTCGATTACCGGTTATACGCCGTTCTACGTGAACGGGCTCGTTCATCCTCGCGTCCTACTGACGCCGCCATCCCATGGTTCAGGGCTTGATAAGGAGAAATATTAAAGCGGCTAGCTGATATCAGCCCTCTCACTGTTTGTACACAAGTCGATGTCTTTCTGTCTACCAGATTTAGTGTTTTACGACACGTTCATGTTGCGATGCTGAAAGCCAAGACATGCAGAAGGAATATGCAGAGGGAATATGCAGACGGAATATGCAGACAGAAGAGGTTAAAGAAATGTAAGGTCGGAGATCTGGTTTTATGAAATGCTAATAGCCTTCCTAACCATGCAATTTCTGCTGTCTTTAAGACGAAGCTCCGTCCACAGTTTTTCGGACCTTTCAAAGTTGTGACCACGTGGGGCCTTGTGTATACGCTAAATCTTCCAAAACGGATGCGCAACTACTCGGTGTTTTATGTGAGCTTGCTCAAGCCGTACCGGGATTCGGCGCAAGTGAAAACAGAATCGTCGGCGCCCGAGCGGTGTCCACTGGCGCTCGACCACCCAGAAGCTGAATCAGTAATGGTTTTGAGCACGGAGTTCAACGATTTTCATCTCCAATGGCGTCAGGCGCTCCACCCCGCATAAAACAAAGCATTCGTCTGCTCAACGGCTAGGACCAACCCCAACAGAGCGTGATAGTTCTGCAGCCGGTGCACAACGTGATCCAAGCTTTCTAAGTCTTCCGTGCAGCGATATGCGACCCTAGCATGATGCTCAGCGGAGTCCTGATCGCGACGGACCTCGTCCTGAAGAGCTCGAACGGCATCGCGAGTCATCGGACGGCAGTCATCCCAATCGCCATCGTCCGCCGCCGAATATTCTTGACGAAAATGGTGTGTCCACTATCATGTGGAACGTCTTCTGTGTCGACGACGTCGCCAGGGTCCAACTCAGTATCATGTAAAGTGGTGGGGGTACCCCGGCTACGAGAATTCGTGGGAGTCTGAAGTGCCACTTCGGCAAGAATGCCAAAACGTCGTGGGCGCTTATGATCAGGAGGATAACGACGTTCCGCGTCGTCGTACGCCCCGCGCTTCTCGGCAATTGTCAGGAACGCCAAAGAGCCATGAGTTGAGCCCAAGCTATGGCCTGAGCAGCTGCGGTCGCAGACTCACCCGTGTGAGAAATCACAGAGCTCGTGTGAGCGTGATGGACACGTCGCAGGGCTCCAGTCCAAAGATAGTCGGCGACGCGCCTTAACTTTGGCAAACTCAAACCGAAGTTGGCGTTTCACGCGCGCGTCCACCCCTTTGTGGCTCAACTGTAAGTTTTACAGCAAGAAAGTTTCCGGCGCCGCTACATCCATCGGTCAAAGGGCTTTTCGTCATCTGCAGCGGTTTCAATGGGGTCGAGCACCACATGAAACGTCCGTATCGCGGGTATAGGAGCGCCTCCTCTTTGAGCTCGAAGTCGAGTGCGGTACGTATCCGCCGGGATTTTTTTGAGAAACCAAGAATCGAGCTCGGAAGTCTTTTTGTTCGTCAAGCTCAGCTTGTGCTGTGTCCGGGGTCCCGATCACGTAGACGCGCAACGATCTAGTGATTGTGTCCTTCGCTTCTGTAGCGGGATCCCGCCAAGCAGAAGCCTTATTCTATAAGAGGGTCAAGGACCAGCCGTGGATGTGCACGCATGGGAGCCGCCTTGTGACAGGAACCAGCTGCTGCTTCTGTGCCTCGTCGAGGTCATTGGTAATGACACCACTTCCCCCGGAAGTCGTGAGGTCAGGAATCGAAAACGGCGTCCGCAAGGGTCGAGCAGGGCTTACGTCGCACTGCTGGGGTACCTTGCACTCTTCTTCTTGCCACCCTTGGAGCGGAGTATTATAGTCGATTTCCTCCAAATCCTCGACGAGGTAATCCAACGCCCGTGGCGCGCGGTCGGGAGTAGACATCGCGTCTGTGTTTATTGTCGTGCGACTCTGTCACTAGCAATTCGCTGTGTGGTACTCGGTTGCCGAGAGCTTGAGCTGCCCTTCAAGCCGCGGACGTGCTGTCCGAAGTTGTACCGTATACAGGAGAGAAGAAGGGCTCAACCTGCGGACGTTCTCGAAACTAGCGAGACTGGGTATTTTCTGTGTCACAGGGCTCATTGACACAGGGCTCATTGAGCATAGAATTCGTGAAAAAGGTCCTGGTGATGTTGAGGTGTTTTAAACACGCGCGGGACAGTTGAATGGTATGTGTAGGTGCTCACAATCTTAAGGGGGAGAGTGTAACGGGGTTTCACGTGCCCTGGTATGAAGGGTGTGGGTCACACATGACGTTGTGAGCTACACAATATGGTGTGAAAACACAATAGTCTGGCGACACTTAATCAACAAGTCAGTACGTGGCTGGAACAGCCGTACTTATACATTTGATTAGGTCTTTCTATATAAAACGGAAAACCTATAAATGCGGCTTTGCCGCAAATGAAACCGAGAAATACAATTTACACTTTGCGTGTTTTAGCTTCGGGTTAAGGTTTTTAGTTACTCTTGGAGTAAGTGGATTGCGATCCACTCGTAAATGTTCTAAGTACAGAACAAAGGATACCGACCTTTAACAAGCTTCCTCTCAGCAAAAGAGCTACGGCAGCCCCGCTCCACAACTGTAGTGAGTATGAAGTTACAAACCTATTAGACTACACTTGTCGATCCACTCACGAGTGATTAATATCTCCCGCTACAAAACGCAGGATATCCACTACTCGGCGCAGTGGGTACGCCACACGAAAGTACTGACTCAGTAGTACCGTAACATTGTGACACATACAAATCATCTATAATAACGTTGAAGTTTGGTCTCGAAATCGCAACTTTTCAGTCGCCCTTCAGCCTCACCGACATTGGCCTTGAAGATCGAGACAACTAGTCACTCTTACGCTCCACCGGCTTAGACAAAGAGGGCGCCAGCCTTCATCTGTCGCTAACCATCCCCGAAAGACACTGAGACCACGACATACGATCTCTTTTTCTGCCCATCCTATGACTGCGACTCTGTCTTTCGAGCTATGCTTCAGTACTTAGCAATACTTACATAAGCGATTAAGAAATTTATGTCAGATACCAAACTAATTGTGGATTTGAATCTGTATCAGAGCTGTTTTTGTTTCCCGGCAGAGGTGGACTCGCACCTCGCCAATTCTCATGAAGAGAGCGGAGCGAGGTAGCCAACTTTCTCGACTTCCTGTCGATCCATTGGCTCGAGTGTCCAGGTCACACCATCAAGAAATCGAGATCATATTTTAAATCCAGGTCTAAGACGAAACAACATTACATTCTGTTAACAGCTCAATTTTACCAGCAGGCCAACAGAACATTTAAAGCTTTAACAAACATCCCCGTCGCGATACGCGTCCAAAAAGTCGGCATTTAAATGCCTTCGTGTACTGTCTACCTTTCTTGATTGTTACACGCCGTGATCATTAGCCTCCTAAATTTACTAGAACTTTCGCGACTTGACCAATCCATTGTTCTCGATGATAAAACCCATTAACCCTGCACCTCTCTTCGAGCGAGTCTTTTCGTTCAAACTCGTTCATTGTGAAATTGTGCTCCCACTGACTCCCTGTTCTGGGCATTTTTGGAGGTGTCTTCCCACAGCGTAATATCGTGTGCCACGTCTTGTTGGTCTCGAAAATCAACAACAGACATAAGCTTACCCAGCGTGTATAATTGTCCCGGGGGAAGGTAATCGATCATTTTTTTCAATCCCATCAGAACTCAAGCGTGATATTGCTTCAATAACTACCAAGTGCTGTTGAGTTGTCGTGCACCATGCTGAGAGAAAGCTTTGACTCTAAGAATGCGTGTACACTTCATCCAGAAGTGGAGCCAACAGCCTTTACGTGATTAGATACATAGTTGCTTTGCTATCTAAAGAGTAATATATAATTGGTATGAACTCAAGTCAAGCTGCTACAATACATGCGTTTTACAATATCCAAGAATAACACAACCTTTATTGCTTGACGTTAGGCTAAAAAGCCACATGTAGCATCGATATCTTGGTACCTATGAATAATCACATTTACACAAAAGTGTAATTTAGGCTTCGTAGAATCTTATACAATATCATATTTGTACAATTGTACGAAAGTGTCAGACTATTTTTTTGCAAACTCCTGCAGCACTCAAACTGGCTTCTTCGTATTGTCTGCATTCCTGAGGTAAAAACTTATGTAAACCTAGAAAAAAACTGATTCAGGAAGCTTTATATGCTACAAATCTCACCAAGTATATTACATTGTTTTTTGATATATAATTCGTGCTAATATAAACTTTGCAGTGTGAATACTTCTAAGACCTATCGTGTGGGCATATTGGAGTAATTACTCGTTCGTAACCTAAATACATGCGCGTGAGCTTGATTGCGGAGGATGCGAGCCATTTCTACCCTTTTGATCGGGATATAACATCAGCGGCATGAGGGTTGGCCGAATCGCGCCTCTACAGCTTTTGCTGCATTAATACCTAAACAGAGATGTGCAGCACTTTAAAGGTGCATATTGTTGTCCGTTGCCCTGTAGCAATCTACGATGCTCTTTTTGCTTCCCAAATTATGTCAGCTTTTCTGTGCAGCAAAGGCAGCTTAGCATTGGCTTTTCGATCCTCACTCAGAATCATTATCCATCTTCATTTATTGTCCAACGCCACTTTCTGTTTTTAATGAAGTTGCTAGGAAATTCTAATTCGAATTTGTCGTGCAATAATCCAGACTTTCTTTCTTAAACGCCTTTTGTGTAACATTCCTGAAATCTCATACCCGGAAAAATGTCCTCAAATCTTAAACAAGGAACCAGCGCATTTTTTATTCAAAATTCGCTTGTTTTCCTTGCACGGGATTCGCACAAATTACGTAACAAATTAGTTTGATCCTTTATGTATTCTCTTTTTGTGGCCAAGCGAACTAACTTATCAACCATGCCTGTCGCAATCAGTACGCTAATTTCGTTTCATGGATAATGCTTCTTCTTCAGATTTCTTAAGATCTTCCATAGTTCACTAAAATTGTTTCCGTTACCACACAAAAACACTGATTCATGTGATTTGCAAACCTCGATATGTAATTATTACGTAGGAAGCAGTCGTTATAGATCTCAAATAGGCGGAAGTACCTTCCCAATGGTCATTCCTATTTCATCTTTGCCAAGCATAAACAAGCATTTCTGAAAGTCTTTATGGTCATCGGCATAATTTCCGCCGGCATAGGCGCCTCCAACGCGCTGCTTAGCTTTTATGCATCATTGCTGTACTACTGGGTCCGTCGGGGCAGCTATGCCGACTGCCCATTTTTTTCAGACAATTTACACGCTAAGACGTATGTGTACTCAATCGCTCTGTTGAACCCGCTGTGGGATCAGCCGCACTACCGTCACCCAAGCTTTTACAAGGATCTTGTGACCAACTTGCGCAATGTGGCCATCCCAGGCACGGGCGTGCCACTTTCGATCGTAAGCTATTCGCGATTGAGTCTTTTCCCCTTCCTATTATTAGTGTATCCATGGCTATGCGTCATTGGCGCTTTCTTTGAGCTGCCTAAGGAATATTCAAGCAAACAGGGTGGATTTATTGAGCGCTTCTTACGCACTTTTGAACAGATACTTGTTTGTCCACAGAACTGGTTTGCTTTTTGGCGTATGAATTGTCACTTAGTGAGTCTACACAGCCTTAAAACGAACTCTCCTGGTTATGTGATGGAAAATAAATGGGACTTTCTTCTTGAATCAGAGAAGGCTGGAATCGCCATTTCGCCCTATCTTAAATCGCCCGGCTCGCTGGTTATTAAGGACCGCAATGAAGAGGGAGGAATGGGCATTTTCATTTTTAAAAATGCCGTTGACGGGGGAGATTGGATCATTCAAGAGAAACTCGACAACTCGCCATTTCTTAAAAAGCTGCTACCAGAAATCTCACCTTTATCAACTTTTCGTATCATTACGGCCTCGCGGTACGGTTTGGGTGAGACTGAGGCGCGAAAAGATGGCGGTAACGGAGTCAAGTCACTCAGCTGTGTTTTCCGTGCGGGCTTAGCGGGTGCTGCCACGGACCACAAGTCTATTATGTTTGACGTGGATATGGAGTCCGGCAAAATCCTCAAGGGTTCAACGACCACTCACTGGTACCGCGTCGGTCCGCATCATTTATTCAGCGGAACCCTTAGCGTGGGCCACGACATCACCAACCACCCAAACACTGGTGTTCCTATTACAGGCAATGTGATAAAAGAAATTAAACAGATGAAAGAGCTTGCGGAAGAGGCGCATTTCAAACTCATGAAGGATGTACCGCTTTGCGGTTGGGACGTTGCTATCACTGATCTCGGCGTTCTTTTGCTTGAGGTCAACATCTCATGCAACTTCTTTCGCGGTACTTTTGATCAGCCCTGGTACTTTAAGTTCTTGGATGAATACTTTCGCCATCTTGAAAAGCTGCACGCGCCATTAAAGAAGACAGTTTAAAATGTTACTCAAGTAGCTGTGCTAATGTCCGCGACTGTCAGGTGCTTTAGGCTGCCAATATGAGATGTAATGCATGTTATACGCACAATAATCTTGGTTTTTATGCCATGTACTTAAGAACAATTGCTTCATCCAACGAACGAAACTATTATACACGTATGAACCCTTGTGGAATTGTGTAATCGTCCTAATATAAAATTCATTGATGGCTTTTCCACGCCCTTCCAATGCTCAAGTTTTGCAGTACGATATCGCCATCGCTTCAGACATTATTGTATTGGCTAGGCGCATTAGCCGATGAGTGTATTACTCGTATAGACCACCTTAACTAAGAAGCAAGCCTTATAAGGTTTTGTCACCGCCCGACGACATTAGATTTTAGAAACGGCAACATCGCGGGTTTTAATGGATAATTGTCCTCAAGTAAAACGTCTTCTAGACTTACCAATCAATGCGGCGAAATTGATACACGTCGACACTTCCTCGAACCCGCATCGCTGGCTCCAGTTTTTGCAACAACACAATTGAGCTTAAGCACGAATGACTACCAACGTCGTTGCCATACCGGATGCGGTCTTAAACGAATTGCTCTCCTTCCTCTACATGGACGACATGCTTGCCCTTGAGCGTGTGAATTGCTCCTGGCGACGGGCAATGGCTAGTGCATCTCTTTGGACCCACGCATGGCTTGAGCACCAGTGGCACAGCAGTACAGATGCCACTACACTCGTCAAACTCCTGGCGATGCGTCATGGCCCGCAAGTCCAGAAGTTGACGCTCATTGGGTGCGTTGTAGCTGAAGGCGCATTGGTGAAGGCAGCCAAGTTTTTTCCGAACTTAACACATTTGACGGTCTCTGGCTGCCAAACTCTTGCTGATGCGGATTTCACGGCCGTTTGCGAAGCGGCGAGTCAACAATTGTTGGAGGTGCGGGCGGTCAAGTGTTTACGACTCACCGACTCTGCGCTGCAAACCATCGGTGATCAGCTGTCGCAGTCGCTTGAAAAAATGAACTTTAGTTACTGTCGCCAAATTTCTTCAGACGGTCTAAAAGCTACAGTCCGACGTTGTAAAAAGCTGCGCTCAATAAAACTCAAGGGATCTCCTGCTGTAACATCCGCTGTAGTCACTTGCATTGCCAAGAGCTGTCCCAATCTGAAAACACTTCTGGTTGGTGGTGCGAAAAACTTGACCGACGATTGCTTGTTTGCCCTTGGAGTTCATTGCCCAAAATTGATGACACTTGACATTTCAAGGAGCAACCCGTTCGGTTTTGGTCGTGGCGGTATCACCGACGACGGATTAAGATTTCTAGCTTTGCATTGCACACTATTAAAGGATCTGAATCTGGGCGGTCAGGGCCGCTTGACGCTCTCGGTGCTTAGCTCACTCGCAAATTCATGTCCTACACTCGAAACGCTGGATATTGGTGGGTGCCGCGTGATCATCTCAAATCCTATTCGTTTAGGCGCAGAGCTGAAGTGCATGCGTCGGCTACATGAGCTGGGAGTTACGTTTACCAGTGGCTTGAAGGAAGGACAAATTGATTTTATTGCGTCCCAATGTCCGCAGTTAAAGTTGGTGGAGATGAGTTTGCCGCCACCCGCTATATGTAAATCTTAAATTTGTGCCTGGTTACTCTGCAACGTATTCACTACCAAAGAATTCCTCAATCGCGTGTGCTGTACTTGTGCTCAGAACAGTAACATCCAGCAGCTTTTCCGCTCCAGCTTGAGCAATCGACGCAAGGCTACCTAGTTGAGCAAGTGTCAATGCATTCATACAAGGCAATTTGAAGTTTATATTTACTTACCAAACAAATCGAGCAGCATATCACACTCATCAAGAGTAAGGAATGGAAAATTCGTTTTAAGCGTGTCAAGGGCGTGCTTGCGAGTAAGTAGCTCGTCATTAACCTACTTGAGCACGCGTAGGTTATGACAAGAATTAACGAAGTGTTGCCAAAACGATTTCCAAGCTAGCTCACGCGCTTGTTAAACTCGTCAGCCATCGTGGTGATATCATAGGCAAGTTTTTCATATATCGAAACCTGTTATTCAAATCAGTAGAGGCGACCACAGAAACTAGAACCTTCTCGCCATACCATCAGCTTGACCGCATGAGATAAACTAAAGACTGAGGCATGTAACGTTAGCCACCTTCATCCGCACGAAATTGGAAATAATCACCTGGAAAAAACTTTATTTGTATGGATTTGCTGATGGCAAGCAGCTGCAGCTCTGCAAACTGCGGTATTGGAAAAATAGCAATGGCAAATGCGTGCTGAAATGCTTTCTCAGCATTTCGCAATCTTCGCGAGGCACAGCTCTCGTTAGATTAAATGCTTTGCGGGTCGATTTCCTCTATCAAAATTCATACCTGTCGATGATGTTTTCAAAAGAAAAATTCGGTGTGTCCTTATTAATCAGCTTCCAATTTCCAATTGTTAATCGTATTCCACCTGTCCATATTAAATTTGTCGTACAATGAAAGCCGCGGGTGGAAATTTGCCCTTCCGCTGCGAGATCATGACGTCTGGACTTGATTAGCCAAAAAAAATTAAAGTTGAGCTAACATTAAAATTTTTTTACCGGCAAGGCAACCAACAGCTTCTACAAAGGCAAAAATATAGTCAATGACGATCGTGTTGGTTACATACCGAACCTACCTCGTGGTTGATACCCATACATTCCATCCAACTCTTGGGCCACTGCAAGGTCATCAATGCGAGTCAGTATTATAATGCATAGATTGTCGACCTCGAATTTCTAACCTTCAAATGGCACAAATTCTGGATTGTAGAGGACCAGCTGTCCTCGGGCGCCCCGAAATCGCACCATCGTTTTGCTCGCCATTTCGTTTTGCACTCAAATGCGGAAGGCAACATCTTGAAACAATCACTCTGCCGCGTTATGAAATGTCGCAAGCTTTCTCCGGTTGAATCATTCCTAAATATAAACGAGCTAATGTCAAAGCCTTTAACTGTATGAGCTCCAACCAAAGGAGTTCACCATATCAAATTTCGTCATGTAGCAGTATTCAGAATTTATCCGATCTTTGAGGCAGTTATGAGTGTGGAAGTTTTGATTGCATTACAATTACAAGTTGCTTAAGACTATAAGTGAGGGGATTAATAAAAAAGCTTGCAGGAGTCATCACCACGTTTACCAGGTTCCACGCATATTATCTTCAGTCCGTGATCTGCTTCTGCTGAAAAAAGAGATTATGTAAGCATATGGCAAGTCAGATCATAGCCTTCATTCCACCCAAGTCGGACGAACGATGAACCGCCTGTAAATATGCTATATCAGCTGACAAACTAATATTCGGTAGTTTATTTGGGCCTCATTCATGATGTTTTTTATGACTAAAAATACTTTGAAAAGATGCGCTCAACAGTGTCTTCTGAAAAAGTATAGTGTATCAAGATATAAAAACCACGAAGGGCAAAATTTTAGCCTTTATAGGCTGCGCGGATGGCGGAGACCTGCTCTATATGCCATATCTAGAAAGCATATCCGCCGTAACGGTTTTTTCTGCGAAGCGGCCGGAGAACTCCACAAGCAGGACTGGCGAAGTCACCAAACGTTCTTGGACTAGCGCTTATCGGGTAGAATTTATTGAAATTATATTGTTATACGAAGTCCGCCAGCTTAATTTGACGTTGGCACAGAAACTGATAATCTCGTGGTGCACCAGTCAATCATTATCCTTGAAGGGTGTTAGACAGAGAAGGCTGAAAATTGCATTGGGATGTTGAGGAAAACAGCTACGTGAGGTAACTCGATCTACCTGGCGAATTTTTGAATACATCCATGAGAGCTTCGGAGTTTTACAAAGCTGTAACGCTGGATACCTCAGGACAGCATCTGTTCATCAGAATGTACACCAGCAAACTCCTTGGCGTCATGAAGACAACTTCATTTCGTCTTCAACTCGATCTAATGATGTCGCTGTCAAGGGCAGCAATAGACTGCTGCAATCGTTTCTTTTCCGCGCGAAAGAAGGCGATATCTCGCAGCACATCTTCGTCCAGCACAGAACAAATCAAACCAGTCTTTGCTGCCAATGTTGTCGATGCAACTCCTGTCCAAGCGAGCTGCTTCGCGAGTTTTGCAATTGTCTCCACGACGCCTCGTAGCTCCGCGATAAGCTTAAGGCGTCTATCATCCTCCAGTTTCTTTGTACGTATACGAATAAACTCATTCGCTATATCGCGGTCACACTCAAGGCGCGAGATCTGAGAATATTCACCATTATCGTCAAAAGAAACGACAACACTGCTGGACCCATGCGATGCCACATTTAAGGGAGATGCTGGTGTTCTCACTTGCGTCGATATATTATTGGCAGCAACCTGCCACTTTGAATGGGGCAAAGTTGGCCTCTCCAAATTATTAGTCTGGTAGGGCTCAGTTGTTACCTGCATTATTGCTTTATGTTCTTTGTTATTATGGAAGTCGAAGGTGTCCGAATTGTCGCTCGACGTTAAAAAGCTGTCTTCTATCTCATCCGTGGCATTAGTGCCACTAACTCGACGCCGCTTGTGCAAGGTGCCCACCTTATGATCTCCATCCTGCCCAAGCAACACCTCCAAAAATCGACGATTTGATCGCAAAATTTCGTAGCAGTGACGAAAGTGGAAAGATTCAAATTTGAGTTTGGGATGAACCACATATGCCTCCAAGTCGCTTGGAGTAATTATTGGTTGCTGACGGTCCCGTACAAACCGACGCATAATAGTCGCATTAATTTCACTACGCTCTTCTTTAAAAAGCTTTTCAGCCTGCTCTATAGCCTTGAGGGGCTTCTTGCCAGCCTTTTGTAGCTGTTCAAAAGAAGTGCGTCAGCAGTGTTTACTTTACACTGACCGCAATCTTAATGCACACACCTTGTCTACAAGCGACGCAAACAAAATCATGTCAGGTCGAATGCCGCGCGCCCATCGAGTGTGAAGCGACCGAGCGCTGCGTAACGCAACTGTTATGTCTGGCACAGCTGCCGGCTCCGCCAATACGAGTTCGTGGTAACGTTTATGCACGCGCTTCCAAAGCGCGCAATTATCACTCAGCATCACTTCCCTGTGGCTGGCGAACACAGCGAGTAACGCCTGGCTTAAGCGCTCGTCATCCAAGTGCGTCCAACGTTCCTTACCTCTTCGCATCCTCAAATTATTGGTAAATGGCTTGTGCAGGCATCTAAAATAGAGAACATTTGAATTCTACGAAAAGCTAAGCTGTACTCTATGGCCCGCTCTATACGAAAATCTACCTTCACTTCGTAATTTATTTATAGCAATAGATTGATGCAAAAGTTTATGGTCTGAACTAGACGATTTGCCTAAATCACTCGTCGATTCACCAACTTCAGCCGACAAGTCTTCGACCAGCTAAAATAATAGTCGTCATGGTAAGTATTAGAAAATGTCTTATATATGTTACTACGCAAGTTCTGATGAGGAAAGGTCTGATAGAAAATGTTGACACATGTGATCAGGATGCACCCATTATCGGAATTCAATTGTGGTGTCTAATCTTCCAACCTGAAAATGATGCTATGAAATTTGTGATGACGCAAAACTTTAAGCCTGCAGAATGTAGTGTTACTCAATAAACAATCATAGGTCTCGATTTATCAGCCACTAAAAAGTTTACGCTCTTAACGTGAAATATATCGCCAAACTAAAATTCCCCTTAGTCAAACAGTCATTACTTCGGGTTGTAAATAAGATTGTGAGAAGATCACGGCGTCGACGAGGATTTTTCGCGTTTAATCACGCAGAGAATGACCTCCGAGATGCCAAAACGAGAACCTTCCAGGCAACTTCACTTTTCTTGCTCAATGTTAAAGTGTTATTTATAGATCTACAAGCTTTAAATAAAATAGTAAAAATCATGTAAGGTGCGTAGTGATCCCATAATTAAGGTATGGTTCATATTATACCGAACGGCAAGTATCTGGGAGTGATACATATTATATAGTAGCATAAGTGCAGCCGGGCTGCCGGAGCTCTTTGCTTCGAGGAAGCTAAGCTAAGGTCAGCGACCTTACGTTCTTTCCAAGCACCAGTACGAGTGTAGCGGACCGCAACCCGCTACCTCCAAGTACTTCAAACCTTAACCTAGGCAGGTGAACTTTTCTGTTCAAGACTGAAACTGTATTTAATTGTTTTAGTTGCCGTACCCTAGGTTATCCTAATTAATATAGTAAAACCTAACTAATATGCATTACTACTGACAATGCGACGTGAGCCCAGCTCGAACCTTGCGGACACCGTGTCCTTACCCTGACATCTCGGCTATAAGACCACTTCCGGGGGAAGTGGTATTATAATTATCCGCCTCGACGATGTACAGGAGCAGCTGCCTACAGGACGGCTCTCATGCATTCGTATCCACGTTCAGTCTTAGATTCTCGTGTGGAATACGGCTTCCGCTCGGCGTATCCCGCTACTGAAGCGAAAGACGTGTAGGCGTATACGTATTCGAGCCCCGGTCACTACACATGTAACGGGGTCGCACAAGATTGTGAGACCATACATTGGTGTGTATTAGACAGTTAGTGTAATAACAAAGTGGCTACACCGTAATTAGTAGCCACCGCGCGGCAATATTACTATATAAACTAAGTTTGCTATATTAATTAGGAATTTCTAAATTAATTAGGAAAAGCAAGGGTTTTGAGTATTGGCGGCTCTGCCGCAGCTATATAAGTTCAATACGATTTCAATTTTGAACAGAAGTGTTCGTTAGCCTTGGTAAGGCTTTAGTTCTTAGAAGTAGCGGATTGCGATCCGCTACACTTGTACTGGTTCTTTAAAAGAACGTAAGGTCGGTGACCTTAGCTTAGCTTTCTCTAAGCAAGCGCTACGGCAGTCCCGCTGCACTTGGCAGCACTTATAGTCAATCTACGCCTGAGTCGTTACTACTGATTATCTGTGAGGATGGATGGATACTTATATTTGCCTCAGGGCATGCAGGACGGCATTTACAAGCTGATGTCCCAGATGGGCCCCGAGGGCGTGGAGCACCTCGTTGCGCAAGGGCCCGAGACCTTAAGCGCGCGCCTAGAGGCGTTTTCAAACTATGAAAATGCTCTGCTAGTGCACTTACAGCAGAAGCTGTCAGCGTCGACAGTGTCTATGACGCCACCGTCGATGACGGAAATTGTTTCCTACACAGGACGCTCATGGTGAGCGTTAAGACCTTCGAGGGTAAAGATGTGGAGAATCTTCTTCTCTGGAGAAGAGAGGCCGAGATGGCTATGACATCTGCCATGCTTCAAAATGAGCAATAGCGCGTCGCGCTAGCTATCTCCAAGCGCGGGGGCCGAGCGCGAGAATGGGCAGTAACGTGCGGGGCTTCGATTGAAGCTGCGTTCCCCCCTGGAAGGAGCAGAAGCGTCAGGTAAGCTTTGTTCTCGCCCGCCAAACCAGGCGTATCGCGTAAGATCACTTTTCCCTTCTGCTCGTCAGGGAAAGAAGGATTGGTGGAATTTGTACAAGTGTTGAGTGCTCTTATTGCCGGGATGGCAGCCGATCCTCTCCCCGAGGCGGTCGCAGTAACCGTCTTCATGGAGGGACTCTGCACTGGCGTGGCCAGAGCAATGGTTTTCTGTGTGTATTCGTCTTCTTTTGAAGAAGCAGTAAATGTAGCTTTGACTGCCGAATTCAGCTTTTAGTCGGCACGACTTTGTTGAATGCACGCCCTTATAACTCGCTTACCGGTCATCAGCCATCCAAAAATTCGCATCTGCTCGTAATGAGGCCGTCGCTTGTACAGCTGTTCATAGGAGGATTTGATCTGGTTAGCTGATGGAAAAGTACTGCGAACATTTGCAGCAGTCGCCACAGCTCCCGCTTAACTTTGTTTCCAAGTCTACTTTCCTTTTGCATGCAGCGCGCCATCTCGACCAAAGTGCGGTTGAGGCGCTCTCTCATTCCATTTTGCTCCGTGTTGTTCGGAACCGTGAGCTGCTGTATTGCTCCAGGTTTCTCACAATACGTTTGCAAATCTTTGCTGATATACTCGCCGCCATTGTCACTTCCTAAAACTTTAACACACGTGTCTGATGATGCCTCGATGTAGGTCCGAAAGTTGATGAAGTGCTGTAGAACTTCGGACTTGGCACGCATCAGATAAACCATCGAGAAACGCGCCGACATCACAGTGATCGTGACGAAGTAGCGAGAGTCTGACACAGACGATAAGGTAATCGGCTCGGCGACGTCCGAGCATACGTTTCTAAAATGCCGCTCGCCTTGCTCCTTAATGCTTTTTCCCCTCGAGTTGTGGGAATGGGACGCGTGTCTGCTTTGCCAATGCGCAGACCCTGCAGGCTCCCGTCGTATCACACACTATTGTCTTGGATTCTAGTGCTCCCGAGCTAACGAGTTCGTTGACTGCGTGGCGGACGCGTGCCCGAGCCAGCGATGCCAAAGCTCCACGCTTACGGCCAGATGACACTCTGGTGCATCTTCCATATCAAACGTGATCAGCTTACCACGTTTGGTACCCATAGCCACTACCGTACCGCTTTGCTTGATTGTAC